TTGTTTAACTGAGATGTGAAAACAAAACAAAAATCTATCAAACCATCCAAAAAACAAAAAAAAAAAAAACAAAGAAAAACAAAAAATCCACAACTAGTACAAAACTGCATAAATTTTGGCTATAAATCAGGGAAAGACCTACATAGCAGACCTACATGGTGTGTATGGTTAGCTAGTAGAACAGGTAATCCACAAAAGAACTCCATCTTTTGACATTCTAGAGAACTGGTTGCTATTTCAGAACGGTTATAGTAGGCAACATGTTGGATTGACAAAAGGCAAAATTTATTGACACGTGATGAGCAGGAAATATTTGATGAAATGATCCTTCCTGACTTAAAAAATGGTTACTCTGTGAACTGACATAGTTGCATCCTGATAAAATGACAACTCATGTTCCTTTCCTTTCTAGACCAGAGGAAGTGAAACAGCCTTAAATCTACAAGTTCAGTTAAAAAAAAAAAAAAAAAAAAAAACCAAAACAACCAGCTCCCAACTGCTGTCTGTTCCCACAGAAGATATTGTACAGTAGTGAGAAGGAACACAGCTCAAGAGTAAACACACACACACAAAAAACCAACAAAATTTGGTACTCAGATCTCCCCTTGTGGGATGCAGCTGTCCCTTACTGTTGTCTTTTCTGGTCTTTCTGTGAACCAGAGAAAAAAAATGGAAACACATTCTCTGGCAGCCATTCAGAAAAACTGCTGCTCATGAACTAGCTTTACTTAAAGGGCATGCTTAGTAAAAGCAGAGCATATCAGAAATGGCATCAGGGAAGGAGGCTTGTGAGTGCAAAAAAAATCCCAACTAAAGCAAGAAGTGGAGGTATGGCATCTATTTATTTTCCCTCAGCTACTACAGATTATACTTGCTCAGCTTTCGAATCAGGAGTTGCCAGTGCCAGAGGTCAAGTAGTCTCTTTTCCACTTCCCTGCACTTCAGTACAATTCTGGAATGCCCTTTTAAATCATGTTAGTGGAGTAAAATCACTGAGACAGATGGGTTAATGAAGGACTTTTCCTGTGCTGGCCCTTCTCCTGATGTCTAATTGGATTACAGCAAAGACCTGTAGAAACACAGGTATGCTGGGGAGAATTTAAGTCAGATCCTTCTGTGTAAAGCCTTCAATCCCTTGCCATGCATTCATGCCTTTGCTTACCTGCTTGTGCTGAGCTAAGCAGCAAGATGCCAGTGAGGACAAAGAGGGGTTTTCGCTTCGGATCCTCAACCATCTTCCTGTTAGTCCACTACAAGTACACAGAATAACAACGGTGGTGGATTGCTCATTCGGCTTGGCTTGGTCAATGATCAACTAGGCTCTGCTCTTTTGGGAAAACGAGTAGGGGCAATCTCCTTTGCTCTTGTTTGATCATTACTAAAAGTCTGTGTCAGCAGAGGTTTCACTGGTATTTTGGTTCAAATAGATGTTGACACCCCTTTCCTTCCTACTTCCTTTTCCTGAAGGCAAAAGGAGTAGTTGCAAGGTTTCATAAGATGTTTGTGCCAGGAAGGCTCCTAGCAGAACATTGCATCTAAATATTTTCCTATTGCATCAATGTCTTTCTTTTTGGTGCATGTTGGCCTTCCTTGCAGAAGAACAGGCAGCCTCGCCTGTGACTGTTTTGCAAGAAGCAAAAGAGAAAGCTCATTCCCTCCCCAGGTGGAATTTACTCTATAGCTGCTTTACTTGAAGAACAGAATGAACGAATTGATTCAGTCTGATTGGAAAGATGACCAAAAACCTTTCCAAAAGCACCAGGCATTACCTTCATTCACAATTAACTGGCAATAGCAGTCATTTCCTTACCCCAGCTTGCTCTGGCCAAAGGTAATGGAGAAGAGCAGCTGTTTTAGGCAGAACTTTTTTTTTTTTTTTTTCCCCAAGACACTCAAGGGAAATTCCCCCCAGTTTTTGTGGAGAAGTTTGGCAGCATTAACTGCTTGGCCCCAAGGGTTGCTGAAACCTTGGCCCAACTGCATCTTCCAAGAGACAAACAGCAGACATAGCCTAACCCTGAAACACTTGGCTCTGTGGTCATGCAGGCTTATTGTCTGAGGAACAGATTCTCAATGTTTCTTCAAATACATTACTTGGTGTCAACTGGTTGACTACCTGACCAATTTTCCAATATTTAGCATTGCAATACAAAGAACCAAGTTTCCAGGCTAGCTCAGGTGAATTCTGACACTGCACAACACAAACTAACTTAAGACTGCAACAGAGCCCAGCCCACTCCCTTGTCATTACAGCCACAAATTGCACCAATCTGAATCATTTCTTAGTGCAGAAAAAAGGAAATAAGCTTCTATAATCCTACCAATAAGCTGTGCCATTTCATGCAAGCCTCCTTTTTGCACCACTATGTGAATGTACAGATTTGTTAAACGCTATCATGCCATAAAAAAATACATCTGAAAAGAATAAATCTTTGTCGTATTGGAGATTCTGTTGCCTTAGCACCTTCTTCCCCTGTAATCTCAGTATTTTGCTATTCTATGAACTTTTTCTGCCAGCATACCGCTGTGGTCCCTCATGCAAATGCAGAAAAACCACCTCACTGCTCTGTGCTTAAAATATTTAACCAGTAAAACTATTTTAGTGTAAAAGTTTTTCTTTTTTTTTTTTATTTGTGAACTTAATTACAGTAACTACAGTTATATCCATTCTGAACAGTACTGTTGGCACCATTATTTTACTCCCCACAGGGAGAGCCTATAATAACAGTAGGGGCTTCTACACTGTTGAAAAAGCTTTTAGCCCACACTAAATTGAAGCTTGATGTGATACACTTAAGTCAGTCAACAAACAAATGTGATTTTATGCACAAAATTCTTCTTATTAAGGATCTGAAAACTGCACTGTTTGCACATTGCAAACACCAAAAGTGGAAAACGTCACCACCTCACTTACAAAGCAACAGCTGGCAGAAATGTATCAACATTTTGATGTGCCCAGATGTCAGGAGGAAATCTGACTGCAGGAAGACTCACTTAAGTGTGAAAGCAATTCAGTGGCAATGGAAACAGTACAGCCTGAGTAGCATTGTGTGGCCTTGGGGAAAGCAGGTTGTCATACCAGTAAGTGGTGACTAAGTCCATTCCTTCTCTGCTTTCAAGGAAAGGAATGAAACACCAGCATGGCTTTGCTTATGGTGAGTTAAGGGTGGTTCTACCCCACTATTGGAATACCTGACATCACAGCTCTTCTATCCTTTGCCCCTCACAAAGAAAGCACAGCTTTGGGTGTAGGCAGCACCTGCATACTGCTCCCAGGAGAAACCAAGGGCTCAGTTCCCAGCTCAGCAAGAAGTGATTCAAATCCTGGAGAGTGTCCTGGCTATGAGAAGAAAACATTAAAAGACTGGCTTAGCAAGCAACGGAGGGAAGCGTGGGTGACTCAGATTGGATCCTCAGAAAAGAAGGAAAAACGATCCTTCCTTCCTTGGGGTCTTGAGCAAAACTTCAGGGATCTTCCACCTAGAATTGCTACATCAGCGTGGACAAGACGATACATCGCTACCCATCCCTACAGGATCTCAAAACCCTACAGAGGAGCCAAGGTGGGTGTCTAAGCCACTGGGCTCAAGTTTCCCTTTCCCTTCCTCTGCCCCATAAAGCCCTAATCATTCTCTACAAATAGGAGCAGTTTCAGTAGGAAGTCAGCCCTACTTTCAGTGCCTGTGGGTGACCTTCTGAGCTTCCTTCCATCCTAAAATAACCTAAGTGAAAGTATTCTGTCAAAGAATCACAGAATGTCTTAGTTTGGGAAGGATTGTAAAGCCTATCCAATTACAACCTCCCTTGCCACGGGCAGAGTGGCCACCCACCAGATTAGATTGCCCAGGATCCCATCAAACCTGGCCTTAAATGCCTCCAGGGATGGGGCATCCACTGCTCTCTGGGCATCCCCACCCTCTGAGTAAATAATTTCTTCATAATGTATAACCTAACTTACCCCTCTTTTAGTTTAAAACCACTCGCCTTGTCCTTTCACTATCAGACAACGTAAAAAGTCAGTTTCCCTCTTGTTTATAAGCTTCCCTAAAGTACAGGAAGGCCACTGGGAGGTTTCCTCAGAGCCTTCTCCAAGCTAAACAAACTTAGTTCCCTCAGTCCTTCTTCAAAGAAGAGGTGCTCCAGACCCTGCTTCAAATTTCTTCCTGCTTTCTCAGAAGATCACATAACCCACAGGAAGGCTACAGCAGGCAGGGTAGGAGAAAGCACCTTTCAGAACAGTTTCATCCAAAGCCCTTGGCTGCTGGGAGGATGTTTTACTCGCCAACCAGGCTAGTTATAGCTTCAGGAAGCTGGTGAACAGTGTACTGCAGAAAGGTATGATATTTCTGGAGTACTCACTATGACTTGCCCAGAGAGGTTGTGGATGCCCTGCCCCTAGTGGCATTCAAGGCTGTATAATCAATGAATATTAAGATGTCATAATTACAAAATAAAAGAGAGCTTGGCAAAGCAGATAATGATAGCAAAAAGAGAATAGCTAGAAAACTTACCCCCATCCTAGGCTCACACACAAAACTCCAGCAAAGCAGATCTCCAGAAGAGATCCTTCCCTACTGGTAGCCAGCCCTTAAATAGGTCTAGGAGGGGTGAAGCCTGGCTCCATCCCTTCTGGCAGCACAGGAGAATTGCCTTCAGCTGTGCACCTCTGACTGCCTCACTGCTCGCCTCAGGTGATCAATCAGAGCTTCAGACCGTGACTCAGCAGTTCCCATACAAAGGCCAAGATGGATGGTGCCCTGGGCAGCTGGGTCTAGTATTAAATATGGAGGTTGGTAGCCCTGCCTGTGGCTGGGGGGTTGGAGATCCATGATCTTTGAAGTCTCTTCTAACCCAAGCCATTCTATGATTTTATGACTTAGAGCCTTTGCAGTGTAGGGAGCTGCTGGTGGGCTTGAGAACAGGAGCAAGGATAGAAGAACAGAAGAGTGAGCCATGGGCTCCTGTCACTAAGCAAAAGGAACTTCTGGGATTGAAAGAACAAGAGCAAATGGTCTTAAACTGAAAGAGGGGAGATTTAGGTTAGATGTCAGCAGGAAATTTTTTACTCAGTGGGTGGTCAGGTAATGGCAGAGACTGCCTGGAGGAGCTGTGGGTGCCACATTCCTGGAGGCGTTCAAGGCTAGGCCTGTGCAGCCTGAGCTGGTGGGGGGCAACTCTGCCCATTGGATGGGATTTGAGGTCCCTTCCAACCTAAATCATTCTGTGATTCTATTATAGGTCTGACACCATCTGGGGCCGGTTCTATGCTATGCAGGTAAGCAAGTGGGTACAACCTAGCCATGGTGTTACTCTTATTTTGTGACGACCAAGGCAGCGTAGCTCAGTGCACTATGCAGTGTCACTGTAGCCTATGCTACAGCTGCAGTGATGAGGCAAGGGAGCTTGCAGCAGCTCTTGGATGGAGAGGAAATTCGTGGAGGCTGAATGTGCCTCAAGGCTGCTGGAGGTTCAGGTGGAGCTGGCCTTCCCTTAGCATGAGCACAAACATGGTAACAGCAGGAAACTGACATCCCCCTCCCCCAACAGCAGCTCACAGCATGGCTGCTGGAGCAACAGCTTTTTCATACTTAGGTTTCCTAAACTTTTGCAGTTATTTTCACTTTCTTCCTCAAAACTACACTGTGATATTGAAGGTGGGCAGAGCCCAGGACCCCGCAGGCGGACCTGCACCCCTCACTGTGGTGAGGGTGGAGAGGGGCAGGGTGCAGGCAGTGGGTAGGATTCCACACCCTCTGTTTGTTTGCATGCTCACATTACTACTATTATTTGTGTTGTGGCCTGTGTGCAAATGTTTCTACTGCTGTGTGTGGATTTTATCAAGGTTAAGTAGCTTGTCATATCCACATAAGAAAATTGTAAGTCTTAAGTCATACTGGTCTCAAAGAATCGTAGGGTTGGAGGGGACCTCCAGAGATCTCCTAGTCCAACCTCCTGCTAAAGCAGGTTCCCTACAGCAGGTAGCACAGAACAGCATCCAAGTGGGTCTTGAATATTTCCGGAGAAGTAGACTCTTCAACCTCTATGGGCAGCCTGTTCCATTGCTCTGTGACCGTCACAGTAAAGAAGTTCTTCCACCCAAGTGCACACAGTGCGTCAATAACACCTTGACTTGTCATGCAAGTTTCTGGTCTTGCAAACTATGTTTGCCGCCCCTCTTCCACTATCTGCCCTCACCTTCTGAATCCCAGCCTTCCCACCCTCTCTTTCCAGCGCCCAGGTTTAAAATTCTGCTCCTGTGCCCCCATCTCTAGTAACTGGAAAAGGATGTTAAAGAGGAGCACGCAGCATAATCTATCCTGAAGACTTGCATCTTCATTCTCCTGTGGGAAACTTTGACACGTGGAAGCTGCCAGAGCCTTGCTGCAGCTGCATTCTTCAGCATCCCTGCTCAATATGTTGAAGTTGCTGCTAGTCCCAGTGCCCTGCCAGATCAGGCGTTTGTCTGATAAAAACACAGACTTGCATATACAATGCTTAAAGAGTAAAGATCACGTTGAGGCAGTGGAGGACTTCAAAGGAGAGTGGTCTTAGTAGGTCTAAAATCAGTCATTGGAAATTCAAGCCAAAACTGAGAATGTACACAAGGTGGAAAAAAGTGGCAGTGGTGACTGTGCCAGATCCTGCAGGCTGTTGTAGAAACTAGAGAAAGATCTCTGGACTGCCTGCAAAAGGTGAATAAATTTCTCACTAACTGCACCAGCAAGAGGATTGCTGTGCTACTTGTGCTGCAGACATCAGCCAAGCTTCCGCCAGCTTTAGCAGGATAGGGACTTCATTCCAAGAATAGATGAGATAAGGAAAAGAAACCAGGTGGATGAACTCGAGGAGCAGGAAGCATTCTGTGTCTGTAGAGAGGCTCTTCTGGAAGAAGAAGAGTTGGTGCTCTTGTGTCCTGAGCATCAACTCATTTTCAAGCAGCATTACTGTTTTGCTGTGTTCCTTTTAATGCTTTGCTTTTTCAGTTGAACTTTTTACAAAAATTGAGGTAAGCAAAAACAGCCTGTAAGAGCAGAAGGTACTTTATACACTGTTGATCATGGGCGCACAGGAATGTGTTTCTTGGCAATGCTGTGGGTTGTGGTTTTTTTGTTTTGTTTTGTTGTTTTCCTGACTTCTCCTAGAAGTGTTTTAACCCTGAGGGTAGTTTTCACAAGGCTAAGTGAACCTCTCTAACAGTTCACCATCTCCAGAAGTGGAGATTCCAAGTAGACTGTTGTGTGTTGGCCTGGGCATTTTCTGGATTTAACTCACTGTACTAGTGACAGTGTAATTTGTCAGCAGACATCAAAAGAGTGCTGCTGGCTTCATTCAGGGAGCTTGCCAGAGGAGCACAACTGTAAGACTGTGAAAGGAAGCTGAAATTCTGGGTCTGTGTTACTGCTCCAGAGATAGAAATGATGGAGGTGAGCTCAAGTTCCTGTTGTTTGCGAAGCACAAGTGAAAACTATGTAATCCAAGGAGAAGTGCCCTGAGGTGAAGTTAGCTAATAATACTTGTGCGTGTTTAGGCTGTTGTATCAGGTTTTCCTCTTGCTGTACTGGTGTGCAGCAAGTATGGGAGGGGTGTGAGTGCAGATGCTGACTACTGTACCACACTACTTAAGGATGACAGGCTGACTATAATGCTGGTAATGCTGTGCTGATTGTCTGTGCATACTCTCATCCTGGGGTACATGCAGAGGGGATCTCACTAGAGATGGAAATTTTCTTATAGATATGTTTGTTTACAATGAAGTGAACAGAAACATAGAAATGAGCTAAAAAATGTTTTGGCAAAAAGAAAACACCCAAGTGTAGTTGTCAGAAAAATAAGAGTCCACATATTTACCCTCACAGAGAGGAATATCTTTTCCAAGCTGGAAATTTAGTCCAGTGGATTCCTCTTGTTAGAAATTTATTTTAGGTGCATCTCCTCAGAGTTTCTTTAGTATCAAGAGGCAAACTTTTAAGGGCTAAGAAAACTTGTTTCAGCTTTACAATCTGTAATTGAGTGTACTTGGCTTAGAGCTTCCATTTCAGATCTGTGAAGAAACAGACCTGAGCTGCAGAATTTTGGATCAGATTCTGTCCTTTATTCAAACACAGGACTTCAGATGCATTGCCAGAGATGGGTGAGGATCTGAAAGTTGTGAGGTTCCCATGCACTCCCTGTCAGAATCTGAAGAGCAAGAGCAAGGAAAACAAATGGGTTGAGATGAAGATAATGTAAGCAGGGGGTGGCAGGAAGGGAACTGGGATTGTTAGTCTGGAAAAGAAGGGGCTCGGAGGAGGGCAAGGGAGGTGATCCTGCCCCTCTACTCTGCGCAGGTGAGGCCTCACCTGGAGTACTGTGTCCAGATGTGGAGTCCTCAGTACAAGAGAGATGTGGACCTGTTGCAATGTGTCCTGAGGAGTGCCACAAAAATGATCTGAGGGGTAGGACACTTCTCCTATGAGGACGGGCTGTTTGCTGGGGCTGTTCAGCCTGGAGAAGAGAACGCTTCAAGGTTTCCTGATAGCAGCCTCTCAGTATATAATGAGGGCTGTAAGAAAGAAGGGTAGACTCACAGAGTCTGTGGTGATAGGATGAGGGGAAATGGTTTCAAACTAAAAGAGGGAAGTTTTAGGTTGGACGTAAGAAAGAAGTTTTTTGTAATAACGGTGGTGAGGCACTGGAACAGGTTGCCCAGAGAGGTGATGGATGTCCCATTCCTGGAGACACTGAAGGTCAGGTTGGATGGGGCTCTGAGCAACCTGATCTAGCTGTAGATGTTCCTGTTTATTGCAGGGGAATAGAACTATATGTCTTTTAAGGGTCCCTTGCACCTCAAAATTGAAACAAACGACTCTCTGATTCTTTCACAGACACAATTGCCTCTTGTGGGCAGCTGCAATTTTCTCCTTTCTCTAATCCCTTCCAGTCGTTTCAGGAAAGAAATCTCTTAGCAGCATCTTTTGATTCACTTTTATTCAATTTTAAGTCTTCTCATAACAATCAAGAGGAGGGAAGGTGACACTCAGTGGAGGAATTTCTCACTTCTTTCCATTAGCTACCAGTTTGCTGCCTATCAGTGATATCTTTACATGATGTCTTTTTGCAGGAAGTAGAGTTTTTCAGGGTCGTGTGCTTTTCTGTCTAGGTCTTTACTTACGCTTCTGCTGTCCATTCTAATCCTGCTTTTCTTTGTTCCTTCAATCCATTTGTCTTTCCCAAGAGTGAATGAGCTTTAAGACGTATGCGTTTCGGTGCCATGAGTGCTCTTATGTGTTCTTATGAACCACGCTAGATCATCAGCCCCCTAAACGACCAAGCAGATTGGAGAGTGCTGGGGAAGACTAACACAAATCCTTTGTCATGGAGGTCACTGGAGCAAGTAATACTGTTTCAGTGGGGAATGGCCAAAGTATCTGCCACCACCCAGGAGTTCTGTGCCCTTCTGGAGTGTTCTGGAGTTAACAGTGGTTGCATGTATACCATAATCAGTCTGGTTTCTTACATGAAGTACTGGGATGAACACAAGGCTGGAGCAGGATGCTTTTTGGGTTGTAAACAACTGTGCTACCTTTGAAGAAATCTTCTATATTTTTATTTCATAAATTAATGTTTTCACAGTTTTGGTGGCTGAAAGTCATAACGTCTCTGGTGATGGGCTTGGAAAAGATGACACAGGTAGGGAGACAAGTCATTCAAAACAGGACTTCGGGGTATTTTTTGCTATGTTTGTTTTTCCCTTGGGCAGGTCAAAACATAAAGAGCTTTTTTAGCAGAATTCAGAATAAATAATTTAATTTTTCTTTTGATGTTTTTGTATGTTTGTTAGAACTGTGTTTCTAACCAGTAGTTCAGAAGTCTCTGAAGTTCACAGAGTACCGGTGAGTTAGAAGAAGATAAGAAAGATTTTATAAACAAATAGAAAAACCTTCCTTCTTTTGCTGCTGCACTTAAATGTGGTTCACATTTCAATTAGAGATTCTTTCAGGTTGCAAGGAGAAAATCACAGCATTAGTGTGACATGTAGGAAGTAAAGAAAGGAGATGTGGATTTTCTTCTGAGTTGTCTCTGGCTTCTTATGGCAAATCTGTGCAGTTCTAATAATGCAAAATGTGCTTTAACAACTTAAGTCAGTGCTGGTGGGAAGCTGAAATTTTTAGTAAAGCTTTCATTTAACTGGCTTAACATACAAGTCATCTGAAGAATATGCTGTATATATTATATAAACAATGAAACCATCACTTTAAGGTAGAGTTGTATATTTTGCAAACTGTTGTGCTATCTCCACATGCATTTCTTGAAAGAATTTCTATTTGCCTGCAGCTGCGGAAATATGAGGGGAGAATTAATTTTGCATCTGGCCTTTCACAGTCTAAAACATATTAATGTGTTCTCGGTCAAGAGATTTCCATTCCACTGTCAGCTTAAACAGACCTGTTGCCTTAGGAACAGTAAATGTTGGTGGATGAATCACTAGGCGAGGAGTTGAAACTACCTGGATCCTTGTTAAACAAGATCCTTTGTTAAACAGAACTGGGCAAATGCCTCCTCTGGACTTCAGCTTCCCTCTTGATACAGTGAGAATGAAACTGTATGCAAATCACTTCACTTTGGAATATAATCGAAATATTCTTTATAATCTTTATAATAAGATTATAATCCAATAATCTTTGGAAAGGCAAACTAGTTATATAGGAAGGATCCTCTTTCATAGTAAATATGCAAGTTACCCTTTTGTCTGGTGCTACCTCCTATTTGCATGCATTAGAATACAAGGATATTTCTTCAATACATCGTCATGGGATCTTTACTTTTACTAGGAAGAAATCCTCAAGTAGACCTTAAGTAATTAAGTGCTTTGGTTTCAAAGCTTGGGTGTGTTGCTGAAGAATAAACCTGAGCCTCAAAACGCCAATCTAGAGATGGGATGCTTGTGAAACGTCAGTCTGGGAGATCTAGCAAGCTTCTTAGAGAAGCACCAGTGTTGGACTTGTATCTTCTGCTTGATTTATATTCTAGGACTTTGAATACATTTATTAGGATGCTAACAAAGCCCCAGTCCTGTTTTATTATACAGTCTGTGTAAATTTCACTTGTACGTTTTTCTAGAAATTCCTTTTCCTCTAGAGGGATATAAACTGTGAACATTTTCATTCAAGTCAGTAAAAAACACGTCATTTCCCAGTCTGTTGCAGTAATTATTCACACACCAACATTCCACTGTTTTCCACTAATAACTGATAATAAGTGCCTTGTTTGGAGAAGCAAGAGGTCCTCCCTTACCTGATAAAGGGAAATGTCACTCATGATGACAATGAGGAGAAGGAAACTAGGAGACCCTTGGATTTTGCTGGTTATTGATGCAGGAAGAATGTGTGTAGAATAGTGTTCCTCATTTGGACAAACACGAGTTGTTTAGATAATGATGAGTACACCAGCTTTCAAGCCACTGTCAAGAGTGACTGTTTCACACTTTTTGCTGGAGTGATGTGAATCATACTTCTGTAAGTCACACTTGGAAATAACCTCACCAGAACTGATGGGCTTGAGGGAATTGTGTTCTAGGAGCACAGTTGGGTTTGTTGTTGTTTTTGTTTTGTTTTTGTTTTTTAAGTTGTATGTATATGTGTGTGTGTATGTGTATATATATATATATATATATATACATATATACACACATATAAATATATAGGTCAGGTACAATGTTGCTCATTTTTAACAGTAGGTGGTGACTGCAGGTACAGACATAGTGAGATGATGACTTTCTCCGAGCAAAGCAAAGGCCATCCTGATGGTCAAGAAAACAAGCAGACAAATCAGGACATCAGCTTGGCTAGGCAAACTACTGACAAACCTTTGTTTGGCTGAAACAACTAAGTCTATGAACTACGAGAGGAATGCAGCGAGTACTACATGCCTTGATTTGAGCAAGGCTTTTTATGCAGTCTCCCACAGCTGAAGTTGAGATGTCCAAGTCTGAATAAGTGTCTGTGTACATGGATAGAAAATGTGTTAGAATGTCAGGCCTGCCGTTAGCAGCTGATGTTTTTTTGTTGTTGTTGTTTTCTTTTTTCTCCAATGGATGCCAAAGGCAAGTGGACTACTGCAGAACTCTGTTCCGGAGCCTGCACTTTTCAATATTCATTTATTGTCTTGGACAAGGAAATAGAAAATATAAAAGTTTATAAAAGGCTGCTAAATACGGAGTGCAGTTGGTCTGTGTAAGGGTAGGACTGCTGTTCAAAAAGAGCTGGAGGAGTGGTCCAGAGTGAACTTCATGAAGTTCTGCAGGGCAACAACGCGTCTTGTGCTAGGATGAGTGGTCTAAGACCCTGCAGTGGTGTAGGCTGAGGACTGCCTGGCAAGAGAGTAGCTCTGCTAAAAGGTACCTGTTTTCATGAACAGTGTGCTGAAACATGAATCTATACTGCTCCCTGGCAGCAAAGAAGACTAATAACATCCTACGCTGTTCAGAGGAGAACTTGAGCCAGGAGGTTAAAGAAAGTGGTTATTTTCCATTACTTGCCACTTGGTAGATGATATGTGCTATCCCCCAGAGCTGGAGAAGTGCTGATAAATGTGAGCAAATTGAGCAGAGTGCCTCCAGCATGATCGATGGCTAGAGCAAAATTCATTTTGTGAAGCAGACCATAAGGAGAGTGTGGGAGGTGAGTGCTTGTTCCATGGTGGGGTTGTTTGTGGGGAAAGGTGTTAGCTGTTGATGTTGGCAGTATGATAAGCTGCAGCTGTGACCTCACTCTTAAGTGCTGGCCTCTACTTGGAAGCTGAGTGGCTGTGGACTTGGTAACTGTAGCTGTCTTCTGTTCTCTCTTTAGACACTGTTCAAAAGGAGTTCAGCAGCTTTGTGGCCAAGCGTGAAGATGACAGTGTTGAAAATGAAGTAAGTGCCTGCATAGTGGAGTGGTGTTTGTCTGCTTGGCTTTTGCTTAAAGCTTACTGATGTGAAGCTATGGGTGGTGCCATTGGCTCTGCAAGCCCTCTGTGCTTGGCCTATGTGGAAAGAAGCTTGAGAACACTGTGGCTCCAGGAGTGGAGGAGAGGGGATGTGTGTTCTGTGATGTCTCCTGTGGTCAGTGGGGTTGTAGGTTGGGGCTGTTATTGGTGTGATGTGGGTGTGATGATTGCTATGAAATCAGATGTTTGTGATGGAAGTGCTTAGCAGACTGACCAGCCTCTCTTTGAATCTCTAAAACTGAAATTTGCTAGCATTTGTTAGCATTCATTAATAACACAGCTCTTTCTCATGCTCATACTTCTGTGTCGTGCCTTAACAAATGATAATGGGTTATAGTGGTGATAAGCCTGTGTCAGTAGGCAGAACTGTTATTCTGCCTGTTATATTGTAAACACTATTGAACATCATATCAAAACAGAGAGCTACTGCATAACACTGGTAGCTCTTTATTGCTTAGGTATGCAGACACCTTTTCTTTTTTTCACAAAGAATGCCAAATTTACTTAACTCATGTATATTTTTTTGTGGTTGAACTTGTTTTTAAATCCACAGGGATGCTGTAGGAAAGCTCTTCTGAATAAACAGGGTAGTGAGCCTGAGGACCTACACATAGAATGAGAAAGCTGGTAATTCTTTGTATGGGAGAAGTTGATCAGTGCTTCATCTTGTTAGTGAAATTCCAGGCCACGCTGATGCAATGTTTCTTAACAGTTATGCCATACTTCTTGAACTAATGAAGTCCTTTACTCAGGTATCAGTTCTGTGTGCTGTATTTACAGTGGGGACATAACAGGCCTCCATTTACACATCTCCAAAGCAGTTTTGCTCTCTCAATCTGTTTCTAGTGGTAGATGTGCAGACCATCTGTGTAAGGTTACACATATATTTCCTGGAATACAACAACATGGAGAATATAAAAACTCATATTAATCCTGTCCCAGATCTGAGAGCAGAAGCATATAAAGCTATCCATTAATGAAGTGTAGAGGCAAAGCCTCACAGTCTTTCATCTGTCCAGACCAGCATACTGCGTCTGTAGAATTTTTGTCTAGTAGAGAAAGCCTGTAGAAAGCTAACTGATTTCACTCTTGTTACTATTCAGTTTCACGCCATGATTCCCAAGAAATACTAAACGTTTTATGTTTGGCTCTGGGATCATTGACCTTTCGTTTGTAATGATAAATCTTACTAGTGTGGCAGCAGGCAAAGGACAAGAAAACATCAAACATTCATCAAGCACAATTGTTGCACTCCTAATGCGATTTCTACCTGTTAGTATTGCACAAAATGCTGTTTAGCCCTTATGTGTGGAAAACTCCAAAGTGACTAACTGTGAAATGGCTTCCAGGAAGAATCTCAAAGTCTTGGTCTTTGTGGCAGCCATGCAGGAGAGGTAGGAATTATTTCCCAATGTGGCAAATGGGATGTCTGCTTGTAGAAGTGCAGTCAGCTGGCTGCAATAATTGTAAATTTAATCTGTAAGTAAATATGTAATAAATCTTCACAATTGTTAGCTTGTCTGTGAAGCTTACTCTGGATAAGATGATACAAAGGACCGTTTCTGAACTTTGAATCCATTCAGTGATGGCAATTAACTTACATGCGTTTGCGAGGCTCACTGTGATTTACTGTAGCCCAGGCATGCTCTGGTTCTACAGAGCTTTGTCTTTGATGTTGATGGGTGAAAATTGTTCCAAGTAGATACAAATCACGGGATGGTTTGAGCCAGTCCGGCAATTTACCGTCACTAAAAGTGGAGGTCTTACTTTTTGTGCATGCTCTGATGGTCATCATATTCTTCCATGTAGCAGGAAACTGATCCAGCAGGAAAAAAAATATTGTTTTCTGCCGGAATAACAGGTTAAGTGTGGTTGTAAATGACTTTGATAAGCACTGTGCTAGTTCTGTGAAGGAGATGAGATGCTGATCAGCAGTAAGTACATTATTTATCAACTATATAAATGTAATTCTTTACTAATGAATTAGGTACATTATAAAACACACACAAAAATAGAAGTTGAAAAGGAATTAGATTAGGAATGGTCTTGAACTTGCTGCATTTTAACTTCCTGTGCTGTAACTTGTCTTCAGTTTCCTTGATAGTTAAATAAGAACTCTGTTTAGTCCTCCAAAGAGAAAACTAAAAGCACCTGCCATTACTGTGTGGAAAGAATAGCAGCAGCATCACTTGCATTGTGTGGTGCAAAAAACTTATAAACCTGAATCTTTGCCTAAAAGTAGTGTCTTAAGGGCATAGCTGTCTGATCCAAAGTCATGGAATAACAGCCTTCCTGGTTACTGGCTACTTAGCAAATGGCTGACAGTAGCTGACGAATATTCTTATTCTGCTCCAGTTCGGTGCAACATGTATCACTTTAAAGAGATTACTGTGGTAATTGGCTAGTGCCTATGAGATGCCATGGGTCTAATAGCTTCTTAGAAATGGTTTGTTTATGTTGATGTGACAGTATCTTAATTCACCTTCACACAGTATTAGTGTTTAAAGCCTGCAATATTCTTGTATAAGTACATTTTCTAGAATACATAATTGTTTACATATGAATTTTTTCATTTTGCTCCAGAATCTTAGATCATAAATAATTGCCTTGTGAACCAAATTGTGACTGTTTGAGCCAGTGGAAGTGACTTCAATAGTGCAAGAGTGGCAATCTGTTCTCTTGGAAGCATTCCAGAAGCACTAAAATTGTCCATAAAGTGATGTTTTGAAGACTGGTTCAGCTGTTCCCAGTGCCTATCTTTCATTCCTCAGAGTGGACGGCCTCCTTTTTGAATGTTGCTGCATGGAGGTAAATAAGTTAAATCATGGACAAAAATCTCTTCTGTATTGTTTCGTACCTGTTCTTAATGAACAACCTTTCAGACATAAACAAAGTCATATTCATAAATTTAGATAAACAAAATCTGATCAGCTTTCTGTGTAACTTTTGGATCAACACATGTACAGTCAGGAGAGAGATGATTCGTTCTTCAGCAGTTTCAAATAGATGGAAGTTTGAATTTGCTATTTTTTGGGATCTCCAACAGGAACTCAATGCTCCAGACAAGCATTTTCAAAGATAGCTATCTGCTGCTGTCAGAAGAAGACTGGCAAACTGTGATCATGACTGGAAAGAGAACTGCAAAACTGAGCTCATAAATACACTGAACCTAAAAAAGAATCAAGGCGAAAAGAATACCATGTATTAACATTTTCAAAACATCAAGCTGTGGAGTGTGAATTCTGCTTGTTGTTTGTTTGTGGAAGCTGGAATGTCATTTCAGTTCATTTTGAAAGTTGTGTACGAGAAGATTGATAAAGGTTTGGTAGTGACAACAAGAGATCAGAAATTTTTCCTTTGTCTTCGCTGTTGGACCGATCCTTGTTTGCAAGGCAGGGCTCAAATTCTCCTCTGTGTAATAGATTAGGAATGTCCGTGCCCTCAGTATTACTCAGGCTTCAAACTGAAATTGGATAGGAATGGAAGGGATTCTGGCATACTGCCAATTCTTGTTATACTACTTTGGCCTTACGAAATATTTCAGCCAAATAGTTGATTATTTAAACATCTGAACCATTCCCATGCAAATAATGTCTGTTCTTGGTATCTGTGGTTATTTTAATGAATCAGTTCTGATTGGCACATTGTTAAGACATGTTTACGAATAAGGTGGTGAGAAGATTAGTAACAGAGGAGAACTTGTAGCACTATTAGAAATGATAGGAAAATATGAGTTTAGATGGAACACGAGGTTAGGTAGTCCAAACTTAAACCAAGGTCAACACTGAAATGGGCCCCTGCTTTACCTACTTTGGTTTTTAAAACCCTCAAAGATGGAGACTGGACAGCCTCTCTGGCAATCTCTTTTGTTGTCTGACTGCTTTAATGTTGAAAATCTGTCCAGTCTGAATCATTGCTGTTTCAACTTCATGTCTGTTATCTCTTGTCTTCTCACCAGGTACCACTATAAAGAATGTGTGTCCATCTTCTTGATGATCATCTTGTAGGTATGGGAAGGCTGCTGTTAGTTACCACCCCCAAAAAATGTTCTTTTCCAGATGTGAACAAACACAGTGCCTGGAGTATCTCCTTACAGTGCCATTGCTCTAACTCTCTGACCATCTTTGTGGTTCTTCACTGAAACTGCTCCAGTTGACTGATGTATCTGTCCTCTTGAAAGGGTACAAAAGGAGTGGTTTTATAAATGCAGACTAATTTAATTCTGAGTAGAAGAGGATAATTGTGGAATCATAGAATACCGTGACTTGGAAGGGACCCAAGTCTTTGACTCCAGCTCCTGCCTCTACGCAACTTAGGGGTTAAACCGTGTATCTTAAGAACATTGTTCAAATGTTTTTTGAATACTGACAGACCCCTTTAAAGCTACCCTAGATGGTGCTAGTGAGTCTGCTGGTTTGCCATGGCTGCACCCTGGCCAGAAGGCTGTTGCCAGGAAGAATGTGAAGACCCAGACCCAGACCCAGAGGTCCCACAGCAACATGCTAGTGCACAGGTCTGTGTCTGCAGTGAGTGCTAGAGCCTGGCCCTTGCAGCACAGGGCAAGAGAGATAGCATCTGTGTTAGATGCAACCAGCTGATGGATTTACTTAGCCTAGTAGCTGACCTGAAGGAGGTGGTGGAGAGGCTGAGGAGCATTAGGGAGTGTGAAAGGGAGATAGATTGGTAATGCCAGTCCCTGACATCTAGGCATCCATCTGAGGCTCCACATGAAGCACATCACCCCCTACTGCCTTGCAAACAGGTAACAGGAGGAGACCATCAGGCAGACAGTGTTCCTGCTACAGTGAGCTCTTGTGTTCTCCTCCTCCTAACAAAAATGATGGTGAAGTGGGGGCAGGGGACAATGGCAAAAGGTTCATGCTCAGTGATGCAGGCCTGCCCAGCAATTCCTCCACCTCCCCAGCTGCCCCTGCAGAATAGGTACAGTGCTCTTCAGGGACAGCTGGACAGTGGTGGGGATGATGGTTCTTCCTGCTTAGAGATGTCATCAAGACTAGGCTACCCTTAACATTAAAACCTTCTCAGTAAAGAAAAAAAGATGAGTCATTGTTGTTGGTGACTCACTGCTGAAGGGAGCAGAAGGCCCAATATGCAGACCAGACCCACTACACAGGCAGGTCTGCTGCCTCCGGGGGTTCAGAAGATAGAAGGGAGAAACTTCCTTTCTTATTATGGCCCTCAGATTATTATCCCCTATTGTTGTTTCAGGTAGGCTGTGATGAAATAGGAAGGACTATTAAGAAGCACTTCAGAGCCTTGGGGCAGCTGGTCAGAGGTTCAGGAGCACGAGTGCTCTCCTCTATTCCTCCAGTTATAGGGAATGATGAGGGACTGAACACGATGGACCAACAGATGAATTCCTGGCTCTGAGCCTGGTGTGCCCAGCAGGGATTTGGGCTTTTTGGCCTTGGCTCAATTTACATGAGACCAGGCCTGCTAGCAGTCAATGGGAATAGCTTATCCCTCTGGTGGAAAGGGGTTTTATGATGGGAGTTGGCAAGGTTCATTGATAGAGCTTTAAACTAGGTATGAAGAGGGATGGGAGTGAAACCAAGGTCACTAGAAAGGAGCCTGTATATTATATGCCAGTGCTTGTGGGAGGAAGATGTGCTAGTAAGATCTTACAGTCAAATGGTGGCTCATCTTCACTGCATTTAGAGTAATGCATGCAGCATGGGTAGCAAACAGAAGGAGCTGGAGGCCATTGTGCTGCCAGGAAACTATGATATAGTAGTTACCAACACAGAAATATGGTGGGATAACTTGTATAGCTGGAGAGCTGCGATTGATGGCTACCAACTCTTCAAAAGAGATAAGCAAGGCAGGAAAGGTGGTGGTGTGGCCCTCTATGTTAAGAAAAAATGTGAATGTCTGGAAACTAATGATGGTGATGATAGGGTTGAGAGCCTATGGGTCAGAATCAAAGGGGAGGCCAGTAAGACTGACATTATTTTGGGAGTCTGCTACAGGCCACCCAACCAGGATGAAAAGGTGGATAGGATACTTTATAGACAATTGGGTGAAGAAGTCTCGAGGTCTACCCCTTGTTCTCATGGGGGACTTCAACTTCCCAGACATTTGTTGGATATATAATACAGGAGAAAGGGAACAGCCCTAGGTGTTCCTGGAGTGTGTGAGAGATAACTTCCTGACACAGATGGTGAATGAGCCAATAAGGGGAAGCAAAATCCTGGACCTGCTATTTGTTAACAGAGAAGGTCTTTTTGAAGGGGGATGTAAAGGTTGGAGGCTGTCAGAGGCAAAGTGATCATGAAATGATAGAACCACAGAGGGGAATCAGCAGAACTGCCACCTTGGATTTCTAGAGTGCAGACTTTGGTCTGTTTAGGACCATGGTTGAGAGAGTTCCTTGGGAGGTAGTTTTGGAGGGCCTGGGAGCCCAGGAAGGCTAGGAATACTTCAAGGAAGTTCTTTTAAATGTACAGGAGCTGACCATCAGCATATCACAGAAGACAAGCTGATGGTGAAGGAGACCAGTTTGGCTGAACAGACATCTTTGGCTGGAACTTGGGAACAAAAGGAAAAATTATGGTCTTTGAAAGAGGACGCAAACAACTTATGAGGATTAGAAATACGTACTGAAGCTGTGCAGAAAGGCCGAAGCCCAGGTAGAACTGAACTTTGCAACTAAGATGAAAGGCAACAATAAATATTTCTAATGTTGCTGCGGAGACCAGAATCAGGGCAGGTAAGACTGCACTGGGCTAGGGATCTAAACCAAAAAGGGCTGACAAAAAGGGGGCTTTTTTAGGGCTTTCCTGAAGCCAGCAAAAGCACTGCAATTGGTGGTGGACCCCTTGGCCTGTCCCTGTTGGTCTGGAGGGGGGACCTGAGGGACAGGGAGGACTGGGAGAGGGTCCCTGCTTGATATCATGGGCAAACCCCTCCTGCCTACCTTGCATCCCCAGGTCTCCCTAAGCAATAGGTTTGCAGCACTGGACACCGAAGGGGAGGTGACTGAGAAGGTGTGGGAAGGCTCCCCTAAAAGGTTACCAAGGGTGAGGCAGTCTACTCCACGTGTTGAGACTGCCTCTGCCAGGAAAGAAAAAAGGACGGTTGTGGTAGGCAACTCTCTTATCAGAGGAACAGAGGGCCCCATTTGCAGACCGGCCCTGAGCCATAGGGAAGTGTGCTGCCTTCCTGGGGCCCGTGTCAGGGTCATAACTAGAAAACTCCCAAAGCTGGTTCACTCCCATTACTCCTAGTTCAGGTGGGCAGTGATGAAATTGCTTGGAGAAGCTTGCTAACTGTGAAAGGAGATTTCAGGGAGTTAGAGTGCATAGTTCAAGGAGCAGAAGTGCAAGTGATGTTTTGTTCTATACCTTCTAGGGTGGTGAAGGACATGGAGTGGGCTACAAAAACACAGGTAATGAATAATTGGCTCAGAGGCTGGTGTCAAGGCAGGAACTTTGGGATTTTTGACCATGAGGCAGTCTACTCAGCCCCTGGCCTGTCCATAGATGAAACTTACCTGTCTCAAAGGGGGAAATGAATCCTAGTGCAAGAGCTAGCAGGGCTTACTGAAAGAGCTTTAAACTACATATGATGGGGAAAGGGGACAAACCTGAGCTCACCAGAGGTAAGCCTAGAGGAACAATGCTAGAGCTGGTAGTGAGGCAGATGTCTCAGCAGAAGTGCATCTACACCAATGAAAGCAGCACGGGCAACAAGCAGGAGGAGCTGGAAGTGCCAGGGGAGGTTTAGGTTGGATATCAGGAAGAATTTTGCAGAAAGAGTTGTTAAGCACTGGACTAGGCTCCCCAGGGAGGTGGTTGAGTCTCTATCCCTGAATGTGTTTAAAAACTTTTTGGATGTAGTACTCAAGGATATGATTTAGCAGAGGGTTGTTAGAGTTAGGGTAGTATGGTTAGGTTGCGGTTGGCCTTGGTGATCTTTAAGGTCTTTTCCAATCTGAGCAGTTCTATGATTCTATGAAATTGTGTTCAACCAACCTCATAGCCTTCTATGATGGAGTCACTGGCTAGGTGAGAATAGTAGATGTCATTACCTTGTCTTAAGCAAGGCTTTTGATATTGTCTCCCACAACATTCTGATAATGAAGCTGAGGAAATGTGTTAGAAGGGTGGACAATGAGGTGGGTTGAGAACTGGCTGACTGGCCGAGATCAGGGAGTGGTGATCAGCAGTGCAAAGTCTTGGGACTGTTGGAGACCTGTGACTCACCGCTAGTTCCCCAAGAATCAGTGCTGGACCTGGTCTTGTTCAGTATCATTGACAACCTTGATGAGGGGATAATGTCCACCTCAGCAAGTACGCCAACGATACAAAGCTGGGAGGAGTGGCTGACATGCCAGAAGGACCTGGACAGACTGGAGAGCTGGGCAGTAAGAAATCAGATGAGGTTTAACAGAAGCAAGTGTAGAGTCTTGCACCTGGGAAGGAATAACTGCATGTATCAGTACAGGTTGGGGGATGACCTGCTGGAGACGAGATTTGTGGAGAAGGACATGGGAGACCTGGTGGGTGACAGGTTGGCTATGAACCAGCAGTGTGCCCTGGTGGCCAAGAAGGCCAATGGGATATTGGGGTGCATTAAAAGGAGGGTGGCCAGCAGGTCAAGGAAGGTGATCCTCCCCTTCTACTCTGCCCTGGTCAGGCCTCACCTGGAGTAATGTATCCAGTTCTGGGCTCCCCAGTACAAAAAAAGACAGGGATCTCCTTGAAAGAGTCCAGCAGAGGGCCACAAAGATGACAAAAGGACTGGAGCATCTCCCCTATGAGGAAAGGCTGTGTAACCTGTATCTGTTCAGCCTGGGAAGAAGACTGAGGGGGTATCTTATTAATGTTTAAAAATATCTTAAGCGTGGGAGACAGAGACATAGCCAGCCTCTTTTCAGTGGTCTGTGAGGACAGAACAAGGGGAAATAGCCATAAACTGAAGGATAGGAATCACAGAATCACAGAATTGTAGGGATTGGAAGGGACCTCCAGAGATCATCGAGTCCAACCCCCCTGCCAAAGCAGGTTCCACACCAATATGCAAAAGAACTTCTTCACAGTAAAGGGTGATAGGAGCACTGGAACAGGTTGCCCAGTGAGGTTGTGGAGTCTCCTGTGGAGATATTCAGGACCTGTCTGGACACCTACCTGTGCAGCCTGCTGTAGGGAGCCTGCTTTGCAAGGGGTTTGGACTCAAGGGGTTTGTCCCTTTCAACCCCTACAATTCTGTGACTCTGTGACCTTTACCTACAATGTCAATGTTCTTAATTTGTCCACTGCAGCCTGTCCCTGCCTGTTAGCTTTGTGCTAGATCTGTGTCAGGAGTAGCCTGCTTAGCCAAACTGATTTCCCAATTTGCCTGCCTGTTTTCCTGATCATCAGCATGGCCTGTGCTCATGCCTAGAGAAAGTCTTCATTGAAGGCCTGCTGGCTTTTTAGAGCTCCTTTGCTCCGCAGTTCTGTCTCCCAAGCAAACACGCCTACCAGCTGCCTCAATAAGCTGAAATTTTCTCTAACAAAGTGTAGGGCTGATACTCTGATGCTTCTCTTCCTCATCCTGCTAAGGATCTGAAGCTCCACTTTTCTTGATCACTACAGCCAAAACAGGTATTCATGACCCCATCCTCATCCCGTTCTTCTCTGCAGGTGAGCAGCAGATAGAGCAGTGCAACATCACCTCTTGCTGGTCCAGCCTAGGTGGAGGCCCCTGACACTGCCAGGAAATCGTCTTCACTGCCTGAATCCTCCTGTGTTGCCTTTCCAGCAGATGTCAGAGACACTGATGTTCCTCCTCCATATATGCCTGTTATTCAGAGTCTTTCTTGAGCTGTTTATGGAAGCCTTTACCTACTTCCTTATGCTGATCCATTGACTTTAGCCTGCTCATCATCCCTGCTGGTCTGTTCTGTGATCCCCACACACAAGCTGTCAACCAGCCAGTCTGTAGCTGGCCCTGAGCAGAGTTCCATGCATCCAAGTCATTCTTCCACAGAGAGGACAGCCCCTTTCCTTGTCCTCCATGCCACTGTTTCTTGCAGGGTTTCTGCCACCCACCGTGGTGCTTCAGTCATGCATGTTGTCTGACCGTGTCCCAGTTATGCCAGTTATGGTTCTGTAAACTTGCACACAAGTTCTAGTTTTTCCTGCTTGCTTTCCACACTGCACTCAATTGTCCATGTACTCACAGCAGTGCAGGAATACTTAACTGATCTTTTGTTAGCACTAGACCAACTTAACTGCTGTCTGTAAATATGTTTATAATTTATTGAAAGAGTCTTATAAAGATATAAAATATTGTATTTTTGTGATGCATGCATGCACTCACACTTTATCTTATAGTCAATTACTAATCCCCAAAATAAATACAATGCTTTATTTCCTAAGTCACAGCTCCTGAATCAAGCGTCCTCCATTGCATCTTAAACAGGTTTACCAGGATGATGCTGTCTGCTTAATTACTTTTTAACAAGTTTCCATTCAAAGATGTCCTTTGTCATGTATATTGTGTTATGGGTAAACATATGGCTTGTTTCCTGCCTGTCTTTCTTTCCTATTGTTATTAACATGAGAAATAATGGTCCAAAAATTATTTGAAGGAATTGGTTGAAATTGCTCTCCAAAAAAATAAACCAGTTGATGAAATGTATTTAATTTAGTTTGTGCAATTTAATACCAAGCACCATACAGAAGTGTCACAAAAGGTGTGGTTTTGAAAATTCCTTTCAAAGCAAAGAAGTGACAGCCTATTAGTGAACAGTTTCTGTTCACTAAGTGCAGTTGTTGGAGAAGACTTTGGCACAAATTGTGAAACATCAGAGCTTTATCATAAATAAATCAACTTCTTTTGCAAACTGACGTAAGACCAGGAGCTCCACACCCTGCCTGCTTTCCCCTACTTACTTGTCAGGGTGCCTGCTGTGCACATGAGAAACTTCAACCAACACTGAAAAGTCTGGACTTCACAGTTTTCAAAACTGTATTCAAGCTCAACTGTTGTTGTTTCTTCTTGCTTTTTTGATGGGTGGATGTATTTTTTTTTTAAGAGGAATCTGAGGCCAGACATTTGGAAGAGCAAATGGGCCCAATTTCCTGATTTGTTGCCGGTTCAGTGACATTTACAGCACCTACGTCCCCGCTCTCTTTGAAAGTATCTGCAATAACTAATGAAGAATGAACGTTTTCTCTGTGAAATGTTATGTCCAAATTTACCTTGCAATGGATGCAATGATAGGCAGCTTTTAATAACAAAGAGCAGAAGCTTGCTGGAGATGCAAACATCTACTTCTGGCTGGCGTATGACATGATTCCAAGAAATGCTGACTGTATGCCAGGAAGTGAGCGTGGCCTCTGGCGCCCTCAAATCCCCATTCATTGCCAGTACTGAGCCATGATACTAGTAACAGAAATTGTTGGTAAGTAAAAGCTGCTGATAAATGCTTGTGCTCGTAAGGCACATCCCAACTGATGACTTTTTCAGTACTTGCTTCAACCAGTAGAAATGGTGCCTACAGGAGATGTTATTCCTCTTTCATCTCAGAATGAATGAGATCAGAGTTTGAGTGATGGCGTAGAAGCAATATTGTGAATTTGGGGTATGAAACCACAGAAGACAAGGCAGCTCTGCGTTGTGCTGATGCTCACAAGCTAGTTTTCAGCTGTTTGCAAACACCCTGTGCTGGATCTAGCAGGACTGGTTGAAAAGTGACACCATCCTTGTCTAATCATTGGCTGTACGAGCACTAGATGCACTCTTTGATTATAGTGAAAGCAACTCTGTGAGTGAAAAGGCTTCATCAGTGCCTGACAGCCAGTTTTACATGAGTCTCTGCAAGCAGAGTTGAGGACTGTGGCTTCCAGGAGCAGGACTGCAGCAAAAATTGGGGTTAGCAGGGGTAGAAATGCACATAGTTGTCTCTTGATCAGACTTGTATCTCTACCTTAAAACAGGCTGTTAACACCCACTAGGCTGCAAGGAGATGATGCATACTGTCTGTGGCACACTGCTTCTGGAACATAAGTTTGTAATGCTCTTCAGCAGCAGATTAATTTACTAACAACCAAAACAGCAACAGGAAGGTGAGCTTGTGTGCTCCTACTGTCTCTATGTACAGTTTGTCTTTCCTTCTTCAAAGGATGTGTGTAAAGGTGGCCTTGGGTACCATGTGGGCTACTGTGATTTAAATGGAGCCATGGGAAATATCTATGTACCCCAATGATGTTAACTCAGTTTGTTTAGTCAAGTTTTATATGACCCAAGTAATTCAGCTTTTGCCTTATTTCTGTGGGAAGTCTGAGGAAGAGCCTGTGAGTCTCAACACTTGTCTATTTTTTTTCTAGAAAATAGAGAAATAAACTGTCTCTCTACTTAGAAAATCCATTCCTTGTCTTAAAAATCTCAAATTTATTTCCCTTTAGAATGTTTTTTCCTCTTCTTTCATATCTGGTATAGCTTGAATGCCATTCCCTTCCAGTGGGGGATTCAGTGTTCTTCAAGTATGCATTGTTTAGTTTCCTTTTGTCCTTGTTTATCTTTTGGCAGAGAGAAGAGAGTGGAGAGTTGGACCAGGAGGATGGAGAAGGGAGGAATTGAGTGGTGAATGTTAAGTGGAGGTAAGTACAATTAGGAGTCAGAAATGGTGTGTACACTACTGCAAAACAGAGTGTTTTTCAGAGCTTCAAGGGTAAATTCAGTCCAGAATCATCTCCTGACATTCTTGCCTTTTGCTGCAACAGGATGTGTCCTGCAGCCCTGGCCACAGAGGACCTATGATTTTCCACAGGTAGAATCCCTGCTAGTTCTGATTGAAAATTATATATTTGGAAATTTCACTTGAGTTGGAATTCTTAATTTTAAGAGAACGTTAAACTAAATAGCTAATATAACTAAACTAATCAAGGAAAATCATTGGGGATGAAATGGGAAACAGCATGAAGGTTGAAAATGGGTAGAGAATCTCTACATGCCAGGGCGCACAGCTGGCAGTGTTGCTGTGGCAGGGACAGGACTTATGCTGGGACATGACTTGGCAGTATGGGAGACTGTTCCAAGGTTTCCTCAATACCCACCCCTTTGCAGAGCAGAGAGGGGAAGTTTCTAAGGAGGGGCATTCTTCTGGGAAGGGGGGATTCTGTGTTCTGCTATGCCATGCCATGCTATACTACGTTATACTGTAGGAAAAAGGTTCCTACCCACTTACTCAGACAAGTGATGTGGGATTGGCTTACCCTGTGGGATGGGATGTTCATCTGCTGATGTATTCAAGTCTCCCCTCCTCCCCCCTCCCCATGCCCCCCTTTTTTTTTTTTTTCTAGAGGAATTGGCTGATTCACAATGTCTTCATTATCTTTAGATTGTTAGAAGAAAGGCCTGGACCTTGGGGTAAATGATCTCAACGATATCATCATGATTTAGGTTAATGCACAGCCCAGGAGGCAGGATGGGCCAAAGCCTGGGCCTGAAAGCAGGCTGTAAGGAATGGTCTGTGGGACTTGGAGGCTGATGGCCTTAGTGGCTGAAGGACAGCCCGTAGGGGTGGGAATCCTTTTCCTTGTAAAAATATGCACATGACCCAGGGGTGCTGGAGATCACATTTCCCATTGCATGTGAACTGCTAGGGACATGTGTTTATGCGTCAGGCTCTAGGAACCCTCCTACCCATTTTCACCACTTTTCCCTTCACCTCTTTTACCTGTGCTGCTGAGGTTCCATGTAGTGTTTTTCTGATCACTGTTCTTGCACAGCTGCTGTCACATCTGCTCCAAAGCTTGCCAGCATCCACAGAAAGAGCTCTTGCTGGCTTCCCGTGGGTGTGGAGCTGCTTGGTGCCTGTGACCAGCCTAGCAGTAAAAGGTCACAGGGAATAATACCTAATTTGGTACAGCTGTCATATGATGCCTGAATGTGTCAGTGCATGGAATACAGCCAGAATATTTGCTGTTCTCTGGCTCCATCGTGGCTCTGCAGCAGAGATTTGTGGAACAGCACCACTTAAATCTGAAACTCCTCTAGATACTCTGCAGAGTATCAGTCAGAACTGATTTAATAATGCTTTCTGTAGTCACTGTGGTGTCACAGTGGTAACAGGTGGATGGTGAATTGAAACGTTATAATCATTAACCAACACACTCAGTATTAATAATTCTCGATTATTTATTTTTTATTTTCAGTTTCTGGAGCCAAATAAATGATGGCAGAAGTTCGCTATTATGGCAACATAAAACAGTGAAAAATTAGAGAGCACTGAATTCAAGATTTTCTGCACTGTCTTCACTTATTTTCCCTATACTCTACTGCATTCTGATAATAGACTGGTAATTTCAACACCCAGCATTAGCAAATGGATTCTATTCATCATCCCAGTGATCCAGCGCATCATAATCCAATCATCATCCAATGACCCAGCACATCACAAGTACAGTAGGACAGAGGTTTTGACGCCTGTTTGCCCAGTTTGCATAACGGTGACATTATTGGCATTTTTTGAGCACATTTCTGTCAAATGTCACGTTTCTGTGTCAAAGCTTTCAGTGGTTTGGATTTTGTGATCTTAGTGCACATCATTTGACAGGTTCAGGTGCTGGCTGGGGCAACATCAGCTGCAGTCAGAGCTTCCATGCAGAACTGCAAAGCTGTTGCAGTTGTACCAAGGTGCAAAGTATATTGCCAAAGCAGTGCAGTCATCGGCTACCTTGGGATTGGCTTGGAAGTCATTAAAACTGTAGAAATTAAAGATAAATGAGTTACAGTGTGGGGCTGGAGATCCCATAGAAATAAATACCGGACTGATTCACAAACCTGAGACATCTTACAGGTGAACCTGGATGCCAGCTCTCGGCAGAACCACAGCAGAGCTGGACAAGCATCTCTTCTCCAGAAATAGTATCCACACTTGATTGCAAGTTCCCCCATGTTAATATTTCCAAGTGCCGTGTGCGAGAGACCAGCAGGCACCGCTCGAGTATCAGCAGTCGCTCGCAGCTGTGTGGGAAGGGCTGCTCACAGCTCTGCCTTCCGCACGGGTGCTGCGGCTGCAGCTCAAGGCTCCGGTCTGGTCTTTTCAGAGCATGGCCTGAGGGCTACGAGCTGAGCTGTCAGTGTATTTCTCTGCTTCCTTGCATAAAGTTTGCACAAAGTTTGTTTGCTCAAGGTTTTTCTTGGTTACTGCAGACCGTTCTTGGATTTCTTCTTTTTGGTATACCTAGAAATAGCAATGACTTTCGAGGCAGTGCGAAGCAGACCAGCCGTAATTAAATCTCCCAGCCACAAAAATAATTTAAACAGGTACAGCTGGAATGGAGACAGAGGTGGGGGCAGAATGGACAGTTCGTTATTGCCTTATAGCAGGGCAGGGCTGCGCAGCAGTAACAGGAGGGAAAGGCAGGAAGAGGGCAGAGAAGGACTGCAAGAGGGACAGCTCTGAAAGCAAAGCGAGTGACCTTTCTTCTCACTGAAGTGAGACCGTTTCCTCCGTGTGCTGACATTTGCTCCAGCCCTGTTCTCCTGCTGCTTCTTTCACCTCTGCTTTGCTTCATAATTGTCCTTTGT